GTAACTGTCACAGTAGACCATTGATTTCTTTATTTGATCTGGGACGTGGCTCTCTTTAAGCTCCTGGAGTGGAGTTCCAGGCAGTTCAGGGGGGGTTCGTTTCTCCGCAGCCTCCTTCTTCACCATGGGTATGGTCAGCCACGGCTGGTCTAATTTCTCACAATTCATGGTAACCAGGTTACAGCGATATCCTGAAGGGCAGCAGTGGAGCAGGTCGGCGCAGCACATGGCCTGCAAAGTAAGTAAGACCAGCAGAGCTTTTTAACAACCAACAATCAAGTTACTGCACTGGTGGAAAGTTTCTGACTTTTATGTGCATGAGGACAGCAGGCAAAGCTGATTTTAGCCTTGCAGCAGGTGGCGTTGTTTGGGGAAGTACTCACATCAGGACATGCGATAGAGCATGAAGCAAATCCCCACAGAAACACACCGAATGACAAACACAGAGTGATCGTCAACATCTGGAAGACAGTAGCAAAATGACTGTAGATTTAGTCTCTTTGGAGTATCAAGGTCAGACTTTGTAACTTCAATGTAACACTAACACAAAAGCATAATTCACTGTAGAAGAAGTAAACTTTTTTGTAACCTTTACCTTTAGATAGTGAAGAAATTCAACAGCTTCCTGTGATGCCTTTCACTATTTCCCTTCTGTGGTATCAAACACTGCTCTTTATATTAGAGGTCAGACACTCCCACTGCACAAAAATGAACGTTTCACTTCACGTGACACCCCTGTGTCCTGTGACTGAGACACTGAAGTACTTATTCAACTTATTTACGCAAGTAAAAGTGAAAAAGTATACACTTGTAAATGTACTTAAAGTATAAAAGTAAAAATAAATACTAAGAAGAACAGTTTATTTATAGACTTTCAAAACACTCAAAGACACCTCGCACTCAATTAAAATTGCTTGTAAAATAATAACAAAATAAAAGTAAGAAGTAGCCCTTCTGCAAGTTATCTTGTTCTAACTGCACTCTCACTTACAATATTAATATTATAGAACATTATTAATACAAGGGAATACGAGCTTTATTTCAACTCACATAATATAGTTCATAATATTTTCTCTTGGTCTCTAATAGATGGATTCACACAGCTGAATTCAACAATACACAGTTAGTATCTGTTATAACACCTGCTGCACATTACTGCAACAGTCATTACAGCACATGGCCACAGTTGCTTTGTTTGGTAGTGACCCACAATTTCGTGCCATGTCTGAATACCATAGTAAGTACGACACCCAACATTATGTCAACAATATGTCTTCATTCAAGTGTACACTCCTGTGGCACATTTCTTCAATGCTACACTTGATCTTCCTGCAAAAACTGAATCATCAAACTCATTAAACTTCTTAATGTCTGTTATTATGTGTTACACCGTCCCAGTATAAACTAGAAGCCCTCTTTGTTTCAGTCCACAAACTCAGCATTCACTTAATTTGAATGCAGATGTGTTGTTGTTTGTTTGTTTTGCATTGTTCCACTTCCTTTGTCTGCAGTTAGCATCTTTATGAGTGAAGCACTTACAAAAATGTTACCATTGTTTCTGTGCTCTGCTCTCACGAGTGCGCTATGTTCTTTTTGGCCACAGCTATAGCAGGTCCAGACAAAGTCCTCTTTGTCTCTCCTCCATACTGAGACACTCAGCTTCATCACAGTGTTGTTAGTGAACCTGGAATTGAATTGTTCTCTGCTTTTGTAACTTCTTAACTTGATTTTAAACTCTCTAAAAGTTATCTTCTTATCATTCTTAATTATGTGTATTGCAAACGAAATTACTGGGGCAAATCTTTCAGAATCATTGCTATCAATAGCCCATCACGTAAAGTCTCTTCAGCATTACTCAGTGCAGTCAAGCAACACAAAGGTTGGAAACAACATCAGACATTTGACAAAATCAAAGTTTAAACATAAAAAAAATGAAATAATGATCAAAATTGATGATTTTAAAGTTCCATGGGTCAAAAATACGATTATGCTCTATATCGGGCTTAGCATGGTGATAAAAGAAAATATGCAACAAGCTGTTGCCAGTTTGAGGGTTCGGCACCTCCCTGCTGGCTTCTTTTTCTTTTTTTTCTTGGACTTATCCTCAGAAGGGGTAGATAAAACATTCAGCATGTTCTGAGTTGTCTTTCAAACAGTATACAGAGATAATTTGTTTTATCCAAAAAAAACCTATTTGTGGACTGCAACTTGAAACAAGAAATTATAAATAGAATGAACTGTGGATGTCTCCTTTTCTCTACTGTTTCTCATTTTCTCCTCATGTTTATGTTTTTGGCTGGTGAATTATTGTGAATCACAGCTATGTGAACCACTGATGTTCCCCCCAGGCAGAGGTTCCCAAGGTGTGGGGCGCAGAGCCATTGGGAGGGGGGGGGGGTATGAAAAAAAATGCTTGGACACGGGGCGCCCACACAAATGCAAAGCAGAAGATGAAGCATCGCCAGATATGTTTCCAAACCAACTTCCTTCCAAGCCAAAGCCTAGAAAATATGGTGAAGCATATCTTCCCTTTGGCTAAGCCCAGACCCAACTGGTTACTTTCCCCTGTGCCATGAGCACACGCTGGGCTCTCCAAATCACAGACAAACTGTCCTGATTTTTAGTTCACAAACACTTCTTATAATGACTAACTACTCTTGACATTTTGGAGATGTTAGCTCTTTATACAGTAAAGTTACAGCGGGATACAAATAACATCAGGCTGATCCTGCTAGGATGTGTTCTTCCTGTCCAAATCACAGACAAACAGTATCCCACAGTTGTTTATGTTTTTGAACCCATTTTGCACAGAGAGGCATTTTTTGATTGTATTGATAGCAATGTTGAATATTATTACACAGGGAAAAAAAACAACTACACGTAAAATAATCACACCATGACGCCTCTGCCTTTGTAAATGGAGGGACAGTAACTGCGTGTGTGTATGTAAGCCTGTAAAACCCGCAGATAGTCAGATTAACAGTATTTTGTCTCTGCCATTCTGCAATCCTGCAGAATGGCAGATTCTGGCCTCTCTGCAATCCTCGTCCACACGTAAATGCAAATACTGAGTTTTAAGAAATCTCCGTTTTCGGTGATTCAAAACGTCGTTTACATGTGGACGAAAGGCCCAAACGCATAGAAACAGCTGCGTTTTCAAAAATACCCGTGTAGGTGTGGACGTAGCGTAAAAGAGTTAGTAGTTTATTTTATTACTACCTGTAATTTATTGCAGTTTACTTGTAATTGCTTAATTGTTTACTAAATGTTTGAGGTGTGAAATAAACCGCAATGGAGTTTGAAAACAAAAATATGGGTGTGTGGTTGGAGGATGTGTTTGTGCGGGGGGGCCTAGCAAACAAAGTTTGGGAACCACTGCCCCGGGGTGAGGTGATCTCTCTCCTTTCATTTTAAACAGCTCTATGTCATAAAAGAACATGTTTACAGCTTTTCTTTTAAATTGCTGACATCTTAGTAACAGGCCTAATTCTCTTTTACTACACTTCCACTGAAACCTGTGGCATCTCTGGTGAGAAACCAACAACAGCATGCCTGTTGGGTCTGGGTCTCAATAAATAATTGATTTATACTACCATGCTTAATTGTTTCACGTGTTAAAAAATGTGCCCATATTAGCAAAGTGTAATATGTTTCTCATCCGCTCTCTCCACACACACACACACACACACACACACACACACACACACACACACACATACTATACTAACCCTCGCTCACGACCACGATACAAAACATTGTAACTTGTGCTTCAGTTCTCCTTTCATGAGGCTTCTCTTTGTGTTATAAGTTGTTGCATTTCATTAAATCCTGATCCACAGTTTCTGTTTAGGTGCTCGCAAACTACTGCCAACACATAACTGAGTGCACACAGACCTATAGAGAGAAACGTGCCTCGAAAGTGTTACGAGACTGATGCGGTATTTATGCACAATTTTTTAAGTTCAGCTTCACGAATCAGATAGTTTACTCCTTGAAAAAAACGTACAAATGTCTAAAACAGGTAAAATCACTCTCACTTCCTCACTTTTTTTGTTTGTTTGTTTTGCTTTCAAAAGTCAGTGCACATCTGCAGATAGAGGGATCACCGTGGTTGTGCATCACTCTCAATCGCCCTCTGGAGTGAGTGTATGCCAACTAATCTCTGTATATTTTAAATATAGATATAATCCATGTAATGTGGAATAAGACGTTGATGCTAATCTTACCATTCTCTGGTAATAGCAGGCTAACACTAATGTTAGCTAATGACTAATCCTGAATCATTCACGAAGTCGTAGCAGTTTATTTAAACCATATATTCCCTTACTAGGCTACTGTGTAATGCCTTTAGTTGTGAAATCTATGTTTTCTGTTGGAGAGGTGTCTTATTCTGTTTTTTTAAGATAAACGAAATGCCTACTTTAAAAACATACATTAAAAGGAGGAGGAAGAGGAAGCTCAGATTTTATGCAAATCATTTGGTTGGATTTTCATGCCTGGCTTCAATCGAGTGGGATTCAAATTACCCCATTTACCTTAAATATGATATTGTTTGGTGTGTTTCTGAAGGAAAAGAAAGCCAATTATGGTGTTAATGTTTTATTAATCTTGTGTAAGCAATATATACACAAATGTCATTATTTTAAGAGCAAACAAACCCTACTTCACTTAACTTAACTAAGTTTAACTTATATTAAAACTGTGTCTACAGCCAAGCACTGTTTTAATGTCTTTATATTTTAATCCAAGCTCATAATAAAAATCTATGACTCTCTCACAAAAAAAAAATGCACACAAATCACGGCACACTGGAAATCTTAGTTTACACTTTGTAAGACCTTTCTCTCCATATAGACCCAGTCTTTACTGGTTATTGCCACACTTCTTCCTTTTGACATGTGTTTGAGTGTTGGCTGTAAAATGGAGCCTGTCTTTGTTTCACTTCCCTTTTTTTTTTTTTACCATAACTTTACCATTCCTCCTCCAACATTATTGTGTTACTGTCTTTCCTCATCTAACGGTGTTGCACCATCAGCTTCTTCTTGATTTCTCCATAATTCTAAATCTGCTGCCACCTGCAGAAACCCGGCTTTGGTGCCTGATTTGCAGCAAACTCAGCATGTCTGCTGCTATATCCAGTTGGTCAGATAGGAGACAAACAAAGTAAAAGAAAGAATAAAACACACAAAAATAAATACTTTAAAAAAAAAAAAAGCTTTCACCTTCCAGTCGTCCACTTCTTTATGTGGCAGTGTGACCTTGCAACCGGTCACACCAACACACCAACATTTTGCGGCATGAAAACTCACATTTCTATCATTTTTATTTGGAAATGTTCTCATGTTTTAAACTTTCAATACAAAAATTTGACTTGAAAACAGCAGAAAAGCCTTTGATTTTTCAGTTTATGAAAAGAATCCAGACATTACACATTTTCAACATGACCGCAGTGGAAATAAATGGTTGCAGGAAATCTTGTGAAGCTAATTGGTGAAGTTAAATGGTGAGAAGAAAAAAAAACAGAAGTTAAATGGTGACTGTCCAGTGACACAGAAGTATCAATTTAAACACAAAACAGCCAACAGATACTTAAAGTAATCTTACGTGGATATAACATCAATTACCCACTTGCTGTCTTCTTGTGAAGCTGATCGGCTTCTATCTCAGATGAGGCAGTGTGTCTAATAATTTTCAGCAAAATCTTGACAAATCTTGAAGTAAAATAGTTTAAAAATTAAAAA